CATCCTTGGGATGCATAATTGTATTATTGCACCAAATCCTTGACAAGAAATATAAGGTTCCTGGAATTGCAGTAATTATGAAATCTTATGATTCAGTACACTATTCCATATCATTTCCTCTGTGCCTCCAATTTTGTTGGTCTAGATGAAAGTGCTAGTGACAGTGAGTGAGTGAGATTGGTTTTAGAATCACTCTGAACAGTATTTCTGTTAGGCCTACAAAGAAAATGCTGTGGTTCCGATTACCTGACCATCCCTTGAATTCTGGTGCCGACCCAATGTTGTGGTATGAATAAAATATGCTTTCAGATACCATTGCTTTTTTCCCTGGCACCAACAGACATCTATCATTCTGATAGAGAAAGTCGACAAGATGGCTGCAAGCTTGATTGGATAAACAATTACACACTGACAAATGTGTTTTTACTTCGTACTTTAATTTTTAGAAAAAGGTAAAAAAAAACACCCAAATCCTACCTACCTGCACTAAATGTTGAAGAGGTGCAATGTTTACCACTCTGGTAAAACCCTGAGACTAAGGCATGGCTCTGACATGCCAAGAACCATACATGGTACATCAGGATAATTATATAAGGACCCACTATATTATATCCTGGGCTGCCTAAGGGAAACAACCCTACATAGTGAACTGAAGCTGCTAAGACAGCCAGACCCATGTTCTTGCTAATTACAGACAGGCACCTACATCAACATGTGTCCATCAAGGATGGAGGAAAGAGTCAGCTACTCATGAGAATGGTATATCCTCTGGATCTTTCCAAATATATAGACTATAATGTTTACAATTTTGGGGTCAAGTTCTTATAAAAAAAGAGTTGATTTCCATTGAGTATTGGTTAATCTTGCCAGGATGTTCATAGTATCATAAAAGTTGGATCATTACAGATATTACATTTATCCATCACCAAGGGATATTACAGTCATTCTCATATCACTGTTTTACCATATATTCCAGTACAGTAGACTACATAGCTGAATTACCAGCACTAAAAACTATCCATGTCAACTTTTGAAATATGGGGAACACAATGTTTTGGAATACATTCTTACTCCATCAAATGTTGCATCGAATTTTATAATTATTTTGTCTTTCACTAATTCACTGACCCAAAATGTGTAACTGTATCTGATGTGAACAGATGAGTGTTTCGCCCTGAGAGCAGCTTGGGATGTGATCTTTGGTTGTATATACCGAAAGATGTTCAAGAATGGTACTTGATCACACCCGGCCTAGCACTGGTCAGTTGTTTGCTTGTTGCTCACACTCAGCAATATTCCAGCTACATGGCACTGGTCTGTAAATAATCTAGTCTGGACCCAACAATCCTGTGATCAACATCACAAACATCGATCTACTCAATAAATATACAATGACGTGTCAATGGAGTCAGTGAGTCTGACCACCTGATCCTGTTAGTCACCTCTTACAACAAGTACGGGTTGCTGAAGACCAATTCTAACCTGGATCTTCATGGGATTCACTAATCGGTTAAAAAGGACTGGTCAGCTCTCAGTACTTTATCTGAATGGGGTTTTCATTTTTAAACTATGTCATGGTATCTCAATTATAGAGGCCATGAAACAAGTGTTAGTCAAGACTTGTTCAAGCAGGCATGCATTAACATACACACACAAATGCACGCATGTCATTATATAAGTGTAATTAACTTCTCATTAAACCTGTTCACCTCATTTCACCTTATTATGTAACCACAACACAACCATGTGTCTTGCTGTACTCAGAGGCATTACCCAGAGTTGTGACTCAGCACCACTTATGAAATGCACTGATATTGATCAGGTTGTTTTTTATGTATACATCTATCAATCCGAGGAAGATGCAGGGATATGAAAGGAAGACCTCTTTCTACCATTGAAGACATGTTCACATATTATTAGGTGAGGTGAGGTGAAAGTGGGTTTAACGTCGTGCTTGAGAATATTTCGCTCATATGACGACGTGCATGCGTGTGTATGTGTATGTGTGGCTGCTTGTACTAGCCCAGACTTAAGCTGGTTTTATAGTGCTAGCCCACTGAGATACCAGGCTGCAGTGAAGCATGAATACCCCTCTCAGACACATTATACTGACTCCGAGCCGACCAGTCCTTGTTGTACCCATTAATGCCGAGCACCAGGCAGGGACCAACAAGTACCATATTTTAACGTCTTTTGGTATGACGCGGTCGGGGATCGAACCCACGACCTTCCGCTCTCCGGGCGGACGCTCTAACCACTACACCACGGAGGCGGTCCACATATATATCATATATACATCAAGATGTGCTGAAAAGGTGCCTAATTTAGTTACTTAAATTAATTAAACTGGTGATTTGGCTAGAGCAAGTTCAGTCATTGCTAATCACAACCGCTTCTATTAAGTACTTTCTTAAATCTGATAGTCTTGTACATTAATTGATAAGCATATCTCCTGTTTGTAGGGTTCATGTGAGTGAGTGAGTGAGTGGTGAGTGAGTGAGTGAGTTTAGTTTACGCTGCTTTTAGCAATATTCCAGCAATATCACGACGAGGGACACCAGAAATGGGCTTCACACATTGTACCCATGTGGGGAATTGAACCCAGGTCTTCGGCATGACAAGCTACCATTAGGCTACCCAACCGCCCCTCATACACTGAAGGTGACTGAAGCTCTATATTTACCTCGACATTAAAAAGTCAGTCAAGGAATGCTGTCATAGTCATATTGTAGTTTTACTATCATCGCCATCACACAGTATATCGTGCAATTAACCTCGAGTCAAGGCAGTTCTAGGATACCAGGTGCTTCTCAAAACCCACTCAACAACAGTACCTGAGTTGCTTGCCCCACCCCTTCCTGTTTCAGTGTTTGACATGTTTGCTTCTAACATTATCACTTGCGACGATAATATCACAAAATATGTTCATAATGAGTTGTTAACAATACTAGAAAGCATAAGTTTCATGTCTTCACTGATAACAGAATTATAAATATCTGTCAGTTTGTTGTAGTTTGTCAATAGAATATATCATTCCCCTCTTGACACCTTGTTGAATGTCAAACTGAGCTTATAATCCAAGCAGCACATGTCTAATAAATTCAGCACTTCCTGGGATTCCTGTTGACCCCTGTGAGATAGATTATAACAGATGGGCCTGTGTTTTCTATACTACATGGGCCTTTAGTACATAAAAATCAATTCCTATCATGAAAACAGTGCAGTGTGAGATAAATCAATTCATAGTGAAACTGTGTACCGCATATACTACCCTGCAGATGAATTGCTAATGGTCTTTATTTGAAATAGACTGGACATATTACAATGGCTATAAGGATAAGAAATCTAATGATGGTTACAAATACGAGAGCATGAGAGGAAATGATACAGCATGTCATCATATTCATTTTCCTGAAGAAGGATGCTCCACTTCTTGTTGGGCATTCTATGAGAAATATTCAGTTAATTCTGCAGCAATCCTCTTGCCCACACTATACCAGTGTGTGACCCAATTCAACTGAACAAACAATGTTGTAGAGCAATAATAGCCACATATTTAAACAATCAGGAAAACAGTCAAGCAATTTTTAAAAGAAACAACTACTGACATTAATCTTTTAAATCATCTAAATTAATATGAAAGGTCCATTTTTAGTCAGTGTCCTCTATGTGAATATGTTGTGTTCTATGACAAATAGATTCATAGATTCATTCTCAAAGAGTTACATACAGCTTATATACACAGTGGCTATTCCAATAAGGTAATATCCCTGTGTATAACACAACGTACAAAAACTACAAAACATTACAGTGACATTTTAGAAACTGTGGCATTTAAGACAACAATGGACGGTGTTATTATGAAATAACATTCAAAATGCAAAGTAAACACACTCGCTGTAAATTTATAACAGATGAAAAGAAATATTTATATAACAGTATTGTGCATTAATAACATCTAAAGATTTTCAACATTATTTTACATCAGTATATTAAACATTTCACTAATGAAATTAATTTGTCAATAATACAAAACAAAACATAAATAGCACCATGATTGAACATCACATCAAAAATACATCCAATTCACAAATTAGAAGGAGCTACCATGTAGTGATCAATGAACCGTAAATAAACCACTTAATTGCTTTTCAAGTTAGGTGTTGTTTTAATTAGATGGTTAATTGCTAATTACAGATGAACATGCTTAAATGTAAACTTTGATAAAGATAAGTGTGAAATTTAACTCCGAAATTGCCAAGACATGGTATTTAAAACTGAACATTCATATTTTATATCATTTTAAATATTTTTTTTTTTCCATTAATTCTGAATGCATAAACACACAATATGATTCGACATTTATTTAATAAAATATAAATTTCTCAATAGTATTGAAAACAATTGCCTAAATTCGAGCAATCTGTTGATAGAAAATTATCTTAACTCATAGATACATACGCCAATGAAAAGAATTGCTAATACCGTAAATTAACTAATTTTCTTTGGTTCTGAAAACGTTGTTAAATGAGAAACGTGCTTATCTAATATTTTATCTGTAGCCCCAGAAACACCTGTGACAAGCATAGTGTTCAGAGTTCAGTGAATTGAGTGAAATAATTGATCTATATTAACGAGACAGTGTTCTTACCAAGCTGCGTGCAAAACCAGGAGAAAAACGGCTGGCACCACCAAATCGTCTGAGCCAACGGACCAACGCCGGCGGAATACCACAATGCCTGGCATTTTGCAACACACAACGCGCCAGGTAATTTCTATATTAAAATTTCTCCATTTTCTTGGTATTTTCCCTGTAATGAATGTTGACTAGGTAGCTCAACCCATTGCACAGTACATATCCAAATGCGATCACTGCTTTTTTTCGCCTGCTACGAGCGATGTTGACAGCCGAAGCTGATGAAGTTGGATTCGCGTAATACGTAGTAAGCAGTGATCTGATTGGTCGAGCGGCGTCATTCACCGCGCACCTGCTACGGGAACCGGAAATACGGAAATGGTCAGTTCTGAGACGAGTTTGACATAAACAGAGGAAATTCCATAAAGTATCCCCATTCAATCATGTAATTTAGTGATTACCCATTCATTTCTGCATTTTAAAGGTATGTGTCTGATGCATTATGTTCTGAGGTTTGCTCGTTATTGGAAAATCTTGTTAAAATCTGACGGAATGTTTAGATGCGAGTAACCAGACTCAGTGCCACATTGGCAGAATTTACCAAAATAATGCTACTGATAGCGATGCTAATTGTTGGATCAGTTGATCGCGTTTTGTATAGATAATACCGTTTTTATTATGTGATCGTCCTTGAATTTTATTTTATTTTAGTTAACTGAGTTTAGGGGTTTGTCATTAATTGAGCTTTGGTGAATGTCATAAAAGTGCTTACTAACAGTGTCATTTCCTTTCCTGTTTCCGTTAATATTGTAAACGTGACTGATACATGTATGACAACCGCGATCTTATAATATTTTGGAATATACATATAAGAGAACAAGTGGTAAGTACACCCATATATTGCTGCACAGCAGTTTGTTGCACTCGTGTCAATTGACAGAATTATATGCTGTAGTGAGAATAGCAGACATTTAAAGTTATAAATGTGAAACGATACATGTACACAAACTGGAAGAAACATATACTAATGAATCAGTTTGGGGATCAAATGAATTACATTTTGAAATATTTTTTACAAGTAGATTACAGGGGCTGGTTTTGCTCCTATGTTTTGATACTGCATGATCTGTCTTGTTATCAATAGTATGTTTCCTCAGACGAGCTGACCCAAGGTGCAGAATTCTAATATGTTTAAATTCCAAAGGTCCTTTTGGTATTTATATTAATGTTTGAAATAAAAAAGTAAAACAATTACTTAGTCAGATGTTATAGTTGAGACATTTAGAATTTTGTCCACACAGTTCACCTTAAATGCCTAAAAACCAGAAAGCATGGGTTCTACAAACCATCAGTTCAATTTTAGTCCATCAATATTCAGAAGGTTGAAGGTTCGGGTTGGAATATTGATGCTCAGTAACCCATGTTTGTCGTAAGAGGCAACTAACAGGATCGGTGGTCAGGCTCGCTGACTTGGTTGACACATGCCATCGGGTTCCTGAGTTGCGCAGATCAATGCTCATGCTGTTGATCACTGGATTGTCTGCTCCAGACTTGATTATTTACAGACCGCCACCATATAGCTGGAATATTGCTGAGTCGCGTAAACTAAACTCACTCCTCAATATTCAGAAGGTATGCAGAAGTGATGGCAGTAACATCGGGAGACCATTCATGCTTCTGTAAAAATAAAATTGAATAACAATAATCAGTTTAATTTGACCCTGGGCTATACATGTTGGAACTGAATTCAGTGTTGCTTCAACACAGATTGTCCTTATGCCTCCACAAAGGGGTATGACATTATGAAGTATTATATGGTATCATTTTTTGGGGATCCTTCAGCATGTTCAATTTATAGATTTTCACCAATTTCTGAGTGCATATAATATTATATTGAGGTAGGTTTGATATGTCAACCTTATAGCATGAACAGGCTTTTGGCATATTGTAGATTCTGGCTTTGAATTGTTGTCACTCTATATTTCCCCAGTGTTACAGGTGACATTTCTTGGTCTACAGGGTTGAAATCAGCATCCTCCATTTACTTGACAAACCTTTTTAATAATGATTGCTGCTGCAGTTAAACAACATTGCCAATGTTGTAACTTACAGAAATAGGAACTTGTTAACTGAACCTGTGAAATTTAATGTATTTTTCAAGGTTGATAGAATTTGGATGAAATGGAAACTAGTGTTGGGAATTGGTTAACAGCTCATAATTGATGATTGGTTCATTACCACCCGATCAATCATCGAAAATAATTAGTTTAAGCGTCATTTTATGAAATTTGTTAATGCACAAAAATATATGGAAAAAAACCATGTAGTTATTTTGTGGTTTTGGGCAAAATTTCACATCTTTAAAGTATGACTAGTAATAGTAGTATGTTAGGAACATAAATCTCTTGGTGTCTTTAAGATAAATTCAATCATGACTTGGAATGCTTGTAGTACTTATGAAATGTAACAGACAAAACCAACCTTGTGAAAATATTGTTGATGAAAACAAGTGTTCCAGAATTGTTTGTGTTCGATTATGAGAAAACATGATCGATTGCTTAGTCGTTTAGTCACTGCGACCAATCTTCGATTCATTTCAAGTAATCGGATCACCACTAATGGAAACATAAATGACTGTCCTGTTCCATTTCATGTCTACATTGGTGAAATGATTGATGTCTACAATAGAGCTGTAGCGATTCATTCACATGTTGATTGAAATGAACCATGTCCCTTCATAAATTCAGTTCCTATTCACGATCCACGAGTATAAAATATTCATGTTTTTTTAAAAGGGTTTTTACTTGAATTTGGGTGTTATTTGGCTTACGATATATGCAAAACATTTCTTTATTTAGTTTGATAGTAATATGGTCACTGGTCATTGTAAAATATCAGCATGGTCAAAACAGGTCCAAGAATATATTGTGTTATTGTTTCACTAAGCGTTATTGTTTACAACTAATCCCAATATTTCGTCATGGTTAACAATACAACTGCTGAATCTTGTGTATTGTTATCCCAATATTCATAATCATGTGAAAACCAAAACCAAACTCAGTCGATTCGATTCCCAGTATTTCTGACATGTATCATATTTGCCTCAAAATGGATGTGTTGCAGCTCTAGGCTATAATTAGTCAGCAGCAATCCAACAGTTTGAACTTTGTAGTTTCATGAATCTCTTTTCATTTCAGATAACAGTATTAGAGATCGAAACATCCTACACCAGCATGTGGGAACCGGAGGCGCCCCAAACTTCAGTTTCTCATCAGTCACATGTTTTTGCTGTGTTCATGTGTTCTTTTTGCACTGTTCATGGTAGCGTTTTTGTTCCTGTGGCCATCTACTAGCTCTAAGGACAGATCTCTAAACAGAATAACCCGGAACCTAGAAACCAACGAGGTGGTTCAGATTGCATCAGCTGTTAAAATCAACACCCCAGACAGAGAAACATCATGTACATTTCATACTTGCTTGGAAGTTTATCATTGTGGCTATAACGATGACAATAAACTTACGGTGTACATATACCCTATTAAGAGATATGAAGATGAAAATGGAAACGAGCTGACGGTTCCAAGGTCTAAAGAATTCGAGGAAATATTACAGGCTGTTGCAGACAGCCCCTACTATACTGATGATCCTGAAACAGCTTGTCTATTCATTCCTTCCATTGATCTCCTCAATCAGAACAATCTACGATTAGGGGATGTAAACCGAGTTCTAGCATCATTGCCGCAGTAAGTAAATAATGGAGTGTTTTCGTGACATTTTTATATTGTATTAGCATGATTCAGTCTATTGTTTTAAAAGAAATAATGCATCCTATACGAAAACTATTAAATTTTTTATGCAGATAATATCCACTGTGAGTCCCATATACTTTATTTTTTTGCTAATGTGAAACGGAGGTCAACTTGCATCAATTTGGCACATGTTTAACTAGAGGTCAGTTTTTTAAAGCCGTGAAGGCCTGGGTTAGAATAGGTCTTCAGCAACCCAAGCTTGTCGTAAAAGGCAACTAACAGGATCGGGTGGTCAGGCTCGCTGTCTTGGTTGACACATGTCATGGTATCCCAATTGTGTAAAATGATCCTCATGCTGTTGATCACTGGATTGTCTGCTCCAGACTCGATCGTTTCACAGACTGCTGCCATATAGCTGGAATATTGATGAGTCCAGCATTAAACAACCAACCAACAATTCAATGCTTGCAAACTATTCATGCAATCATGTCATGATATACATTCATAATGTTCATGTAAGTTCTGTCTTTGTCATTGATTTAGGGGTTGGAAAATGTTAACACTGGAATTTCATTGAAGCTTTTTGTTTTGAAAAATTGAGCTGAGTGATGGCAGGTTGGGCAGAGTTGTGTCCCTTAGTTTTGTGATCTTAGTTTTGATTGGTTCACCCCAAATGTGATTCCAGATTTGTCAGCACTATACCTATGCTTATAGATTTGACCAAAGTGGAATCATGTGAGACTTGTATCACTTCAGGCTTTCTTCCCACATCAAACAACCCATGATATAAGTTGAACACTGATTAAAGTTGTATTAAACTTACTTACTGGGGCAGTTGGGTAGCCCAGTCATTAAAGCGTTTTCGTCATCCAAGGTTCGGGTTCAATTCCCCACATGTGTACAATGAGTGAAGCCCATTTCTGATGTCCCCATGCATTGATATTGTTGGAATATTGCTAAAAAGTGGCGTAAAACCCAACTCACTCACTCTCTCACTTCTTACTTGCTATTAATCATTTCTGTCTACTGTTTAGCTGGCAAGATGGCTCCAACCATCTCCTGTTCAACATGCTGGCAGGCAGTTCCCCGGACTTCCGCACAGTGCTTGAACTAGCTACTGGGCGGGGCATCTTGGCAGGAAGTGGCTTCTCAACCTGGTCCTACAGGAGGACCTTCGACATCTCGGTACCTGTGTACAACCCCCTCATCTCACACATAGACCTCCCACAGAAATCTTACCTGTGAGTATTTCAGTGCCGATGTGAGTAGCTTTAGGTACACTCATCCAGTGGTGTAGGGTTAGAACTGATATCCAGCACCCATGTACCCGTGAAGGTCCGGGTTAGAATGAACCTTCAGTAACCCATGCTTGTCGTAAGAGGCGACTAACGGGATTGCTTGCTCAACCCGTGAAGGCTCACTGGCTTTGTTGACACATGTCATCGGTTCCCAATTGTGCAGATCGATGCTCATGACGTTGATCACTGGATTGTCTGCTCTCAGACTTACGATTATTTGGAGACCGTCTGAGTCCATATAGCTGGAATATGTCACTGACTCACTCACTCCTCCATACTCAAACTAACTCACTCACTCACTCACTCACTCACTCACTCCGGCACCCATGCTGTCATATGAGTCATCTTTGTGGATCAGTATTTCAATGCAGATGTACTGTCGATGAGTTGGGGGTGAAACAACAACAAAAGACACAATAGTTTGATGTTCAACTTATTGTATGCTGAGTCATGTGTCATTTAATGTTTTCAGAGAGGAAAGACAGTGGCTGATTGTATCATCTCAGAGTGGCCTCCATAGTGAATTTCGGGACATCCTGGACAAGCTGGTGTTGGAGGACAACCGGGTGTTGGTCCTAGACCGCTGTCGGGATGACAATAATACCTGGAACGTCACGAAGCGCTGCACCAGCAACTCCAACTACGACTATCCTCAAGTGTTACAGGTAGGGCCAGTAGACTACAAGCAACTACCTGCAACATTTATACCATCATTTGACTAATGTACCTGCATTGATCTCAAACATATTTAAATTGCTCCCCACTGATGCAATTTTTATTCCTGAATCCAAATAGTTACAAATTTTCATCTTTGCAAACAAACAGATTGCACTAAGGTATTTTCTTTAATAGACATGATAATCTGACTAAGCTGTTCTGAACAGAATAATGAAGTCTTGGAATGCTTTCCACTGTTATATAAGAACACAACACCAATGTGATATCAATTTAAATGAGTTAAACAAGCGTCATCAGGAGATGACATATCCCGGTCAGGTGCAATTCAGAAATGGAGTACTTCAACACCACAATTACTATAATAGTATCCATTATGTGTGTTAAGATGATATTTTTTAACAAAGTGGGAGATAGGATGGCATAGTTCATGCATTTATTTCTTGCTTCAAAAGCCCAGGCTGATTGCCAGCATTGGTACAACACGTGAAGCCAATTCTGATTTTCGCCACCAGAGCTAGAATATTGCTTAAAGTGGTAAACAACCCCTTTTCTCTTGAACACTAATGAAATTGATGAAGAGTAGCAGAGTGTATTAAAGATGATGTGTTGGTTGTGTGCAGGATGCCACATTCTGTGTGGTGTTACGAGGAGCTCGGCTGGGGCAGCCTGTTCTCGGTGATGCATTGCGGTCCGGCTGCATCCCCATCATCATCGCCGACGGCTACATCCTTCCCTTCTCCGAGGTGCTCGACTGGACCAGGTAATTGCAAGCAAAGTTCTTTTCTTGATTCAATACACTTTTGAGGAATCCCAAGACCTCGTTATTCACAGTTGTGTAATAGTTACCTGTGAAAATGTTCAATAGTACACTCTAAAGAGCATAACTTCACTTGTTTGCTTGAAGTGCTCATGAAAGGTTTCATTTAAATCAGTGAAGGCGAGCTTCAGAAGTTGAAATCTTTAATCAATACTTAAGGATCTAAAATATTGGAGAAACACTCTAGTCGAGTTGGACACTATTCCACACAGTTGCAGCAGCCAGAGCACAAACTTGTCTTGATCTGGACTTGTCACACAGTAGAAAGCTGCGCGTAGAAAAGTCAAATCAGTAACCATTGTTACTATTCAATCCCCAGTTTACTGCACTGTTGGAACAACTGTACTAGGACCAAATGTTGTCTCCTGTATTTATCATGATTTGAGACTTTCAATCTTGCCCTGATCACAGGGTCCAACTTAGACCCCTATCTTGCCCTGATCACAGGGTCTAACTTAGACCCCTATCTTGCCCTGATCACAGGGTCTAACTTAGACCCCTATCTTGCCCTGATCACAGGGTCTAACTTAGACCCCTATCAATGTGATGCTTGATGTTGTTTGTTTGTTGTTGTTTAACATGGCACTCTCAGCTATATTGTGGGTTGTTGTCTGTAAATAAGTCTGGACCAGACAATCCAATGATCTAAGCACCTGGGATTCGAGTCAGGGAGCCTGACCACAAGATCCCGTTAGTCGCCACTTGCGCCGAACATGGGTTGCTGAAGACCAATTCTAACCCAGGTCTTCACGGGTTTGATACTTGATGTAATGTGGGACTTAAAGGATTGTGTGATCAGATTTGAATTCTTGATGCAATTTCTTGATCAATTTGGTTAATTGCTTGTCCTTGTGGGTCATTGTTCATGTGGCAACATAAAAAAACAAACCTTGAATTATGTCATATGGTTGCAGCGTTTGTTTATCAAGCCTTGGGCCCTTGTTTGATTTCCTACCTTAGAGCCCATTTTCTTTGTCCACAACTGTGATTGTGCAGGAATATGGCTTATAGCAGAGTAACACCAACTCCTTATTCAATGAAACAGTTTTGTTATTTTCTTGATGTCCCTTATGTCCCTATACATCAGCATCATTGTCAATGTGTCATAGAATCGGCATCACAGTGCGAGAGGATGACATCGGGGGTCTCCTGAACATTGTCAAAGCATACAGTGTTGATCGGGTGTATGAGATGAGACGGCAGGTGAAGTTCGTCTGGGACAACTACTTCAGCTCCATGAAGGCCATCACCATGACAACACTGGAGATCATCAACGACCGCATCTTCCCGTATGCCAGTCGCAGCTACGAGTCCTGGAACGACATACCCAACAAGGTGAGTGAGTGAACAAGGATCAAAGTCAGTAAATGGAGTGATGACGAAGAATAAAAACATGGTTGATGTAGTGTTTATTCATAATAATGATAATAGTCCATTTATCATGCGCATTTCTCCATCCTTAATGCATACTCAAAGCATCCAATCTGATTATCATTACCCTGGATAACTCAAGCTGCCAGGCGCTAGAAGGTTATTAGTCCAGACCTACCCCACCGCTTTTTTATAATATATGATGTTTTGTAGTTGAATAACACATTGACAAACAAACTCAATTTACTCCACTGGCTTAGTGTGACCTCCATTTTTTTATAATATATGATGTTTTGTAGTTGAACAACACATTGACAAACAAACTCAATTTACCAGCCTTTACTTGCTGGCTTAGTGCTGACCTCCCCTTATTCTCCAGGAGGCGATCAACAACCCATTGTTCCTCCCCCTCACCCCCTCAAAGGCCCAAGGCTTCACAGCTGTCATCCTCACCTACGACCGACTCGAGTCACTCTTCCAGGTCATCAAGCAGGTTGCCAAGGTACCTAGTCTGGCCAAGGTCGTCGTTGTCTGGAACAACCAGAATAAAGCCCCTCCTGCAAGTAAGTCTCTGATGAACTGATGAATCTATGGGCTCACGTGTGAATACTTGCTACTACTCAGTAGCCCCTCAATATGTTGAAAAAAAATAAGTTTCTTTTCTACTTTTGGAGATGCACAAACATGACTTCTTGTGGATGTTGAAACAAATTTTAATACATGTAACTGAAATTCTGGGATATAGGGAAACATTAAACATCCTTTCTGTTCTGTTTCAGTGTCATCATGGCCGTACATTGGCAAACCTGTGAAAGTTGTCCAGACCAAGAAGAATAAACTGAGCAACAGGTTGGTGAACCAGTGGGAGATCCTACAGGCAAACAGGGATAAGTTGACCACCGACCTCCTGACAATTGACCCGTATTAGTATGTATGAGTGACGCCCACTTGCGCTTACCATGTGAGCGAAGGGGCCCCAAGTTGTCCGCAATCAAGTGTAGTGCAACATCGACCACGTGAGGGTCTTATGAGCAAGGCGTGTGCAGCTACACGTGGAATAAATTTCATCATCATGCACTGCACGTGCACTAGCCTACATCTGCTCTACCTTTCACAAACCAAATGGGTTTGCTCATTGCTGTGCACCGCCTACTTCTCGTAAACGCGTTCTCTGCGCCGGCCCAACTTATCCTTGTTTGCCAGTAGTGACACAGGCTTTGTAAGGCATACAGAGGTTAAACTGGATCTGTGCTTGCATGGGTTTCATAGCTGGAATATTTATACATCAATATCACAGTCAAACTCATGGTTACCAAAACAGTGGATGTTGAAAACATGCATTACTTTGAGCTTTCCTCCGCATTAAGTGATTTGTTTTGATATAATGTGAACCATCGTGTGGGAGATCCTAGTGACACAGGCTTTGTGAGGCATGCAGAGGTTAAACTGGATCTGTGCTTGCATGGGTTTCATAGCTGGAATATTTATACATCAATATCATCAATATCACATATAATGTCAACCATCGTGTGGGAGATCCTAGTGACACTCATGGTTAAACCAAAACAATATTTATACATCAATATCAAAACAGTCAAACTCATGGTTACCAAAACAGTGGATATTGAAGACATGCATTGCTTTGAGGTTTCTTCCACATTACCTGATATGTCTTGATATGATATGAACCACTGTGTGGTATTCATGTTTTAACTGTTGCATGGTATCTCGGTGGCATACATACAAGCGCTCACATGCAACAGGGCAATGCAACATTAAAATTCATTTCATAACTCATAAAGGGTAATAATGCCCAATATGTTTCCAGGTTCAAGTTGAATGTAAATAAAATCAGGATAATCACTGTTACACATAATAAGATTTGAACCAGCTGACAAAGTGTTCTAGAGGATGCGGATTCAATTTAGCTGGGACTGACAAATACTAGTAGGTTAGTAGGGCGGTGGGGAAGCCTAGTCGTTAAGCATTCGCTCGTCACGCTGAGACCCTGGGTTCGATTTCCCACATGACTACAATGTGTGAAACCCATTTCTGGTGTCCCCTGCCATGATATTTCTGGAATATTGCTACAAGCAGCGTAAAACCCAACTCACTTACTCACTCACTCACTCACTACTAGGTTAGTCCCCCTTTAAGGTCGCACATCTGTTGTCTTGTGTCGCAGGTTCTTCCCCTATGATGAGATAGAGACGGAGTGTATCCTGGCCTTGGATGATGACATTATCATGCTGACAGCCGATGAACTGGAGTTCGGTTATGAGGTAATGTCTTTATTCCATTTTCTGTTGCCATTTGCCAGTGTATAATATTTTTGTATGATATGGCGATGTTGATCAAGGGGAGATAATTTTGTCATTCTTTGAGAAAAATTATGTCCCTTTCTTCTTCAAATAGAAATATCTTCAAAATGAAATATCAGAAATAGGCTGAGTTTTCTCGTTTCACTTGAGGGATTTATTGACATGTGATGCTTCTGTAGGTATGGAGGGAGTTCCCGATCGTCTTGTGGGCTTCCCATCTAAGGTTCACTTGTGGGACAACAGCTACTACTAGTACTGTAAAAATAATGCACATAACTATTACTGCTACTACTACCTTCTATCCACTACTACTACTACTTCTTCTACTACCACTGCTACTGCTGCTGCTACTACCACTACTACTACTACTACCTGTAAAAATAACACAGTAACTATTACTACTACTACTTCTTCTGCCACCACTACTACTACTACTTCTTCTACTACCACTGCTACTGCTGCTACTCCTACTACCACTACTACTACTACTACCTGTAAAAATAACACAGTAACTATTACTACTACTACTTCTTCTACTACCACTGCTACTGCTGCTGCTCCTACTACTACTACTACTACTACTACCACTACTACTCCTCCTCCTACTACTACTACTACTACTACCTTTAAAAATAACACAGTAACTATTACTACTACTACTTCTACTACCACTGCTACTGCTGCTGCTCCTACTACTACTACTACTACTACTACTACTACTACTACTACTACTACTACTACTACAACTACTACTACTACTACATGATGATACTACATTACTGTTACCACTATTAGTGCTACTAAAAATTAACTGTAACAATTGTAAGGTGGATAAAATTAGATGATGATAGCTTGGTTCCTTAAAGAGTAATGATATAATTTACAGGTCTGTGATAAAGCTGATGTTGTTGACATTGATGTCATTCCCTGACTGGCTTTCCTCCCTTTTCCTGCTCCAGTATTTCAGCTACCTGTATACCTACTCCATGCCGGGCAACATGAAGGTGTGGGTGGATGAACACATGAACTGCGAGGACATCGCCATCAACTTCCTCATCGCCAACATCACCGGCAAGGCTCCCATGAAGGTGACGCCCAGGAAGAAGTTCAAGTGTCCACAGTGCGTCAACAACGAGATGTTGTCGGCCGACCTGACTCACATGGTGGAGAGGTCGGAGTGCATCAACCAGTTCACCAGCATCTACCAATCAATGCCGCTGAAGAGCGTGGAGTTCCGGGCTGACCCTGTGTTGTACAGAGACAACTTCCCCAGCGTGATGAAGAGGTTTAATAACATAGGGAGCTTATGATTGGGGAGGATATACAGCGTATCTATCACCATGGTATCCATAGTGCTGAGAAGGTTAACAATACTGGGAATTATTATCATGGGAATATATAAATGGCTTCATTATATCCCAAAGTGCTGATTAAGTGCAACGTTATCGGGAGTTTGTGACTGGTTAATTTGAAAGGGTTTATATATCAGTTTTATCATTGTGCCGAGGCATCGGGGTAAAATAGCCATTAGTCCAAAACTTTGAATGCAGATTTCTACCAAAATTTAAATCTTTTTAAGTCAAAACTGAACCCTGGATTAGTATGTCCAAAAGTGTCAACCTTGAGGGGCATCCCAAGTTGGGAGTTATCAAATATGAAATAATAGTACATAAATACTCCCAGTGTCTGGATGAAGTTTAATACTGAAGTGTATGATTTGGACAAAGAGCTTTAGAACATCTATTTGAACAGATGATGTTTGCCATTGCTAGTAATCTTTGATGTGGGTATTATGCAGGGTTTGGTATATCACAAGGTTTCAATACCTACATGTCATTATGTAATTGTCTGATGCTCCACTCTAATTCAAGCTTCAAAGAAACCATTTTTGAACCCAAACCAAACCATCAGAAGGATAAACATAACATGACTGAAATATTTCATCTATTTTATGACATTCTGCACAATTGTTTGTCTGTATATACGTCTGTGTTTGTATGACTGTAAGTTTGGATGATCGAATGATTGTAAGTTTGTATGATCGAATGCTTTATGATTGTCTCTCTGATTTTATAACACGAGTTAAAATTGTTTGATTTCATCAAAGTTTTATTATTTTCCCATGCATTTTCAGTGGAGTAGACATTAACAATACAAAAACACCTGTAAATGTTATATTTGCTGCACTAACATGGGTATATATGGGGAGTTTTCCTGGATCGTGACAAGGTAAATAACTGTCATTGTTTTTTCTATTTACATGGTATAGCACCCTGTGAAAACTTGTCATATTCCTGCAGCAAGTCACAGTGTTCATGTATCGTGTGTCATCGAACATGCAGCGTTTTGTCGAAGTTGAAGGCACTATCCTAAATACTTAAGTTATACGAGGGATGGCAGGGTAGCCTAGTGGTTAATGTGTTGGTCGTCACGCTGAAGATGCGGGTTCCATTCCGTACATGGGTACAATGTGTCAAGCCCATTTCTGGTGTCCCCAGCCGTGATATTGCTGTTTGTGTCTGTATGTTGAAAATCATCTATCTCTTTCATACGTCATTTGTTTGTTAGCGTTCAAAATTAAGCATGATAGTCTCAGGGTCTTTGTCATGACATAAATGTTAAAAGTTGAGATTCATGGGGTCTCAAGTCAATTTACGTAAAGACTTGACCCTGGACCCTGCCTAGTTTTGAACACTGCTCTGAAGATGGTAGTAAATAGTCACAGGACTTGAATCTCCAAATCTTATCTGTGATATCATGTTACTGGTAGATTTGATTCATAATAGATGTCTCTTATATCTCACTGTAGGTTATCAGGTGAGTTTGAGGTGCTCTAAGTCAGAGGATTTAAAGGAGTATTTTCACAAATGTCCATGTGCCAAAATCAAAATTTGTAAAACTTAGTTTTAAATTTCCCTTTTAGCATCTTTAGCAAAATAATAAATGATTGGCTTAGGATATGTAGTTAGCCATTATTAGAATCTAGGGTAGGAATGAAATTAACTGCCACGTTGTTTGGGGAAATGAGACATGAACAAGGAGGAGATTCTATGGATGTACAACTTCTTAAATATAATATGAGCGACGTTTCGGTGTAGCTACTAACACCGTTAACAAGCAAATGATATACAACTTCTATGATATAATATTAGCGACGTCACGGATATTATATTAAAGAAGTTGTATATCCATAGAACTCTCCTCGTTGTTCATCACACCAACTTCTAAATGCCACTCAAACAAGAAATGAGACATGCTCCAAAAGTTTGTATGTATTGCTTTAGCCTTTACTGGTGGCATCATGTCATGATCTGTAGTACCATGTATAATAGTCTCAGATTTGTACCCCATTTTACTGTCCAGGCTCAGCTGACCACGTTATTGTGAAGGGTTATAGTCCGTTTGGCTCAAAAGTGGACCGATAAATTGCAATCTAACTCAAAAACTACTAAACATAAAATACTCATATTCAAAACTTCAGACTAACTCTGTGATTTTTTCACAGAATTTATGTCCTAAAATAAAAAAGTTGTTTAACAAACTATCATTAAAATTTTGACAAAGTTCTCTATTTGTTACGAGGGAGGGTGCAAGGAGAGGAACAGCCAGGTGTACATGGAGCACGTGCACAAGGGCCGATAAAGTTATTGAATCATTTACCTGTGCTGTGCTGTCGCCATCCTTTCTCGCACACCTGGCTGTTTGCACTCCTCCCTCGTAACAAATAGTGAACTGTGTCAAGCTTTTAATGATAATTTGTTAAACAATGTTCTTATTTTTTGGACATAAATTCTGCCAAAAAAATCACAGAGTTGGTCTGATATTTTGATTATGATCAGTGTTTCATCGAGTATTATATGTTTAGTAGTTTTCAAGTTAGATTGCAATTCATAGGTCCGATTTTGAGCCAAACAGACTATAGTTCACTTATGTTATAGGTGTAGTACTCTAAGGGCTAGTAGTCCGGCTAGAGTACCCACACAGGTTTCAAGGGTAAGTACCCCACTTTAATGGTTAGGGTACATAAATGCTGATGTGATGCAAAACCCAACTCAATTCAACTCAACTCAACCACACTTTAATGTTAAGGGTTAGGTTTTAAGGGTACCCAGCGTAGGCATGAATAGGTGCCAAATATATACTTCAACATTAAATAGTTTTGATAAAGAGTGGTGATACTGAAAATTGTCACCTCCTGCATTTTTTTTAATAACTGCTGAAGATTAAGTTTGCAAAACATATGCTTATTATCATTATCAAAATCATCTAATTCTTTCCAATACTTTACCTTTGTTACATCACTGCCCTAATCCTATATTTCCGGTGTCATCTTAAGCATGTTTAGATTTTCAACAGAGGTCCTCTTCACAGTCAGCTTACCTTCATTAGTTTTGTGGATAATACCTTTCCTCAATCCTTGATCAACAAATCAAACTGCTTCTTTATTTATAGTGAGTATTCTTATGATTCATGTTTGATTGAATGTTTGAATCTCTGTGACCTTGATGTTTCCAAGAGGTTATGAAAATTCTATTCTCTTCCCAGACTCAAACAGTTGTCAACAATATTTACCAAATCAGTGGTAACATGAAAATTTACAAAGTTCTTGAAAGGCATTTAGAAGTTGGACAAACATTAATACATGACACGTTTTTATGGATAACAACTTCTTTTATTCTTTATATAGCCCATTTCAGAACTAGCTAATTCTTTTTTCCTTCATCAGGTGAGTCTCAGCGATGATGGAGCAAGCATTAACTCTGTAATTCGCTCCTTCATAATAACGAATAAGAATTAGCTCTGTAATGTTGTGTAAAGAATTGTTTTCCATAAAAACTTGTTATGTGTTAAAGATTTACAAATGTTTTATTTCATTTCCTGCAGAGAACCTTTATGTTTACTGTGTGTTCAAGTATTAATACCAAAGACACTTCCTGTGTAATATCTCTATGCCCCTGTATCTAGTCCCTGACATGTAAATACTAGTGTTAGTAGCATAGCCAGAGACAATTATCAAAAGCATTGTTTCTGTGTGTGTATCACCCATACAACAGCATAATTAATAAACTGTTTGCCGAATACATAATATAGGATGTTCATATGCAAAGTGTCTTAAGAGGTGTCTCTGGAACCATTTCTGAAGCATTTAGTCGAATGATATCTTATGACAGAATTTAGACAGATTGGTGAATGCTGGGAATATTTTTAAGTTTGAAAACACTGTTATGAAAGTGACAGCAATACCATAATCTACTGGAATTATGACTAATGTTGACAGTCAAACACCAAACTGTATTATATTTTGACTGAATTAGATGATGAGATTTATGTATAAATGCCCTGAATCAAAACTAGATGTTAGTCCAGGAGTAGTTGTTGGTTTGGTCATTCTCTGTATTTATACTGCTAGCACTACAACTAGCTTTAACACAGACATCCACATCAATCTTCTTTTGGTTTGGTCATTCTCCGTACCTGTACAATACTGCAACAAGATTTAACAGTCATTTACGCGAGTCTTTTGATGATTTGTCTCCAGTACGAATGAGGTCATAGTTGATGATGTTGGTCACCAAGGGAAGCATGTTAACAGAGGATGTGATGTTTGAATGGGAATACCCGTATATTAACAGGTTTCTCCATCTATGCATTTGGTTTCTGAGAATTTCGAAATTGATTCCCTGATGATACCATTAGGAATTTATGTTCAACGAATTCAAGAAGTAAAGAAACTTATTGGATTGATTATGCAGTTTTATTAATATGCAAGGGACAACAGTGGACATGTTTGGGAGCACTGTTAAAATGGTGTATTACATACACTAAATGCCAAAAGAAACGTTGCCCTCCTTCCTTTTTGATTTTCTGAAAATCTACTCAAGTGAGGATGAAACTTTCTGCTGCATTGTGATGCGTCGAAGTCCACTTTTTGGTCTGTCTATGGTGACCCCAGTCTGTCTGTAGCGCTGAATAAGTCTTCTTTTGGACATCTAAATCACTGACCCGTGAAAGTCTGGGTTAGTATCCCACGCTTGTCGTAAGAGGCGTCCAACAGGATTGGGTTGTCAGGCGTGCTGGCTTGGTTGACACATGTCATCGGTTCCCAATCGATGCTCATGCTGTTGATCACTGGATTGTCTGGTCCAGACTCAATTATTTACAGACCACCGCCATATAGCTGGAATATTGCTGAGTGTGGCATAAAACTAAACTCACTTACTCACTCTAAATCACTGTTATTGGTATATTTTGGCATGGTCCAAAATAGGACAATTTAACTCTTCTGAAATAGATGCATTTCACCTAAATATAAATGCATTTCAGATTTATTTTGCGATTTGCATAAAGCTGTGTTGTTAAGCTTTCTTGTAAACTAATACCTTCTACCACATCTTTGATACTTTTTAAGTAATTCATAAATTTAGGAGGGTAACATATCTCTTGGCATTTAGTGTATGTTCACAGGGAGAGACATTACCACCAGTATTCAGGGAATATTTCTGTATGATATAACTTTTTTGGGCTTTGTTCTTGTTTACTTTCTGTCCTTGCTGTTATAAAGAAATACCAGGCATGGGATTTTTATCTGAACTTCTGAGTGAATACCTTTTAAAGATCTCAGTCATTCACCATTTCACAAGGGCTATGGGGTA